CTGCAAGGAAACCCTTTCTGACATTTTTGCTTGGTAAATTCATCCATGAAATAATATGCAAGGGGCAATGCAAACAACTCAGGTTCAAATCCTGGCTCTGCCATCCACCTTACCAGCTTTTTGACACTGGCAAGTTACTTAACCTTACTGTCTTCAGCCTCGTCATCTGTAAGTGGGGATAATAGTAGTTTCTTCATAGGATCTTTGAGGATTACACAGATTAGATATTATCTTTAATAATTCCAGCAACAAATACCTGTTAAGCTCCTATTCCATTCCATGTGCTGTGAATGAGGGAAACTGTCCCTCTCTTCACGGAATTTAGAGTATTTTTTTCACACTAGAAGCCCTGACCCATCTAAGGGTTAGGAAGTCAATGCAGTAAAGTGTGACCAGATTTTGTTTTAAATGAATTAGAATACAATTTTACAAAATAAGTGTTTTATGAAACTTTCTTTCCCTTGCATATATTTTTATATGAATGTGTGGCCTATGTCTTGATATAAAATGTATTTCTCACCGTGAGTCTAGCAGAGAAGATGAGCAATTAAACAGCAACCTCGACACAGTGCATAAGATTGATGCAGGGAGTGTCATGGGCACACGCAATGTCACCTGACCCAGTAAGGGCAGGTACAGAGGATCAGGCAAGCCTTCCCTGAGAAAGTAACATTTAAGCTGAGACTTGAAGGATGAGAAAAAATTTACCAAAAGAAGTGGGGTGGAGGAGGAGAAGTAGTTCCTTTAAGAGCAGTGAGTAGCGCTGGGTAGGTAGAGGAGTAGTTAACGAAGCAAGAGATTTGTTCAGATTTGCATTTTAGGAAGGCCACTCTGGCTGCATGAAGAGAATGGGCAGGGATCAGTTGAGAAACTATTTAGTAATTTCAGGACACAGTGGCCTAGACTGGCGTGGGGACAGTGGGTATTGAAGAGGGACCTTTTCTTTAGGTAGAATTGACAGGACTTGTTGATTGATGGGGAAAAGTGCTGGAGCCAGAGCATGAAGGTGCTTATCCCACACCGCTGATGTCTAATTTACAAAGGTTTCAGGAGACACTAAGTCTCCAAGCCCCTAACTTGAAAAAATGTTCCTGTAAACAGGAAGACAGAATCTTTCAATCACTTTGCAAATCATCTCCCTATCCTGCTGGACATATCTGCAGGCTGTTGCTGGGCCTAGGAGTTGGCAGGGCTTTCTGTTCCAAAGTGGGAGGGCTCCTGGCAGGAGACGGAAGGCTGGAAACAGAAAGGAAACGGGGCTAGCCAGGCACCTTGCATGAAGAGAAAAGAAAAAAAAGGGAAACCTGGTATTTTCCCATCTGATCCAGAAATATCTGTTTGGAAAACAATTTAAAAGCACAGGTAATTCAGAGATGTTTATATTTGGCTTTGAAATGCCATGCATTTTTGGCAGTAGACTGACTTTCCCGAACATTTTTCTTAGGCCTTATTTTGCATTCCCTGAACATGGACCATCTGGGCAAAAGGGGGATGAGCCCAGAGCTCAGAGGGAGTCTGAGTGGGTGGCTTAGGAGGCCCTAACGTTCAAAACTTGGAACGAAACCACAAGTCTCCCTTATCACCCCAGGTAATCAGTACTTAAATGTCTACCTGTGTCCTGCCACAGAGCAGGGAGCTTTTTGTGATCTAAGCCATGCCAGGTCATATGGTGAACTGAAAAACAGCTATCTAATTCCCAGCATACCAATGTTTCCTACTCACATCTTCCAACTCACAGGTCCACCTCCACCCCGATGGAGTGGCAGGCAGGGCTTCACAGCAATCTCAAAATCAAACCATCTTTGGGGCACAAGACAGGCTATTTACAGATGTTATCGTAAAAGACATTTTAAGTCACCATCAGTACCCTGTATTTCACAAAAGAGCTGGCCAGACCAGAAGGCCCCTTTTCTTGTTATTCCTAAGATTTCTGCTTCCAGAGGAGTTGAAAGGTTAGATTATCTTCCCTAGCTCAGGTATACCTAGGACAGGAGAGTCGTGCCTCACAGAAATCACTTCAAAAAGGGTCTCAGCACCACATCCCACCGGCGCTTAGAAGAATCCTCAAGGTGGCAGCCACTCCCTACTTAGGAATCCCGTGCATTCCCCTTTTCTTCCATCTGAACTGTGCCACGCCAGGGAAATCATTTGGTCCCGGCTAGAATTCACTGGCAATAATTAGCAACAGGCCCAAATCTGGAAATTCAGAGAAACTGGTTCTCTCCAGTTTCTAACAGTTTATAAAATGTTATAAAATTAATATTTTTCATAATCTCCACAGAGAAAAGGGCATTTCCTAGTTTCTCACTTCTTACAGGTCAGAATGGTTGGCTCACAGGAAATCCTTAGTAGGCGCTCTGTGACGCATTCGTCTTTCCAAGTGTTGGTATTTTTCATTTCACAGAACCTTCTTCCAAAGGACGTGAGCTGCCAGACTCAGGCAGCCCGTGTGTTTTCGAAAACGCCAGCATAGGTTTCTTTGACTCAGGTACCTGAAATATTTAGGGAAGCAAAGGCAGCGGTGTGCCAGGGGCACCCTCACCTGATGTCTACCTCTTCCCCTCCTTTAAGGTCTCCTTGATTGGAGGTGGCGGAAAGAGTCTCTGGTGGCTCGCCCAACCCTTTAGAACAGATGCCCCCCTCCCCTGCCCCCGGCCCACTGCCAGACAGCAGTCCTCTCTCGCCCTTACCCTCCTTTCCCCATACACACCTCACCGAGGTCATCCTCAGTGTGCAGCCCAGAGGGGAAAGGAAACGCGAGCTAAAGCAACAGGTTCCACCCACAGTCTGAACTTGGAAGGCGATGCGGCGGCGGCGGGGCGGCTGGAGCTGCGCGGTGGAGGGAGAGGAAGCGGCGAGGAGGAAGGTGGAAGGGAAATGGTGGTGCACGACCACCGAGCACACGTCTCTCGGGCTCCCACATGGGCTTGTGTCTGTGCGTGTGTGAGGGGAGGGAGGTCCTTCACAGGGTCACTCGGGCACTTCCGCGTGGAATAGGAGGCGCCAGGCTCGTGCTTTTGGGGTCCCGGGTGGCTTCGGCGGGGTAACGAGTCACGCAGAGAGGGCTTGAGGCACGCCAAGAAAATACGGGTGTCGGCGTGAAAATACAGCACTCTCCCCAGCGCGCCGCCCCGGCTGACCGGCTGAGTCTGCGTCCCTAACGCCCAGTGCCCTCTTCTTTTGGGCCTATCCTGGGCCCCTCCAACCTCATCCCAGCCTGCCTCCCGCTCCAGCCTGCTGCCGCGAAAACCGGGACTGCGGACTACGCCGCGCCCGGCAGCCTCTGGGCATGCTCGGTGGCGGGACCGGCTCCGCCGCCAGGAGGGCGCGTCCTCCCTCCCCCAGGGCGGTGGCGGCGCCTGCAGCGACTGCCGCCGCCGCGCCCCGGCCAGGCACACCTTTTGGGGAGGCGGGTGACCACCCTGCCCGGCGCGGGCTGAGAACGCCCCAGACCCCGAGCCTTCCGGCGGGTGGGAGGAGGGGCCGGCCGTGGAGGCGCGGAGGCGGGAGAGAGACCTCCGACTGCCCGGCGTTCCTTAGAAAGTAAAGCTCAGCTCGCGCGCGGACGCGGGCTCCCAGCCGCGGGCGGGGAAGGGGCGGCGTCGGGCGGGGGTGGTGCTGAGCGAGGTGCGAAATTAGTAGCCGCCCACCCCCTTCTCAGTTCCCGCCCCCAGGGAATTATAATTTCCTGAGAAAGTGTCTGGTTCTCGGAGAATCCTTGGGGCGGGGTAAAGGGGCGCGCCCGGCGCAAAATGGTTAATACAAAGTCTGCGCGCGCCGCGGGGCCCCCTGTATGAAAAGTGTACGCGCCGGTGGCTGGGCACCCCTTTGCTAATTTGAGGGTTAGTTACCGGCAGGAAGTCTGGCTGTGTGAGAGGAAAGGCGGGCAGGAGGGAAGCCTCAGGCTGGTGCAGGCTCCCGCCCCCCAGGCCTCCTTGGGGGACGCACCTCGGACCCAGCGGGCGCAGGGTGCGGGGCACTGGGCCGGGGCGTTTGCGGCGGGCGGCGGGAGGCTGGAGCAGGCTCGGCCCAGCGGCTCACTCTCTACCTCCTCCCCCCAGGATTACCGAGAGGATGGGATGGATCTAGGCAGTGACGCCGGCAGCAGCAGCAGCAGCCGCGCCAGTTCACAGTCGAACTCCACCAAAGTGACCCCTTGCTCCGAGTGCAAATCTTCATCGTCGCCTGGGGGCAGCTTGGACTTGGTGTCTGCCCTGGAGGACTATGAGGAGCGCTTCCCGGTCTACCAGAAGAAGGTGATTGATGAGTGGGCGCCGGAGGAGGACGGGGAGGAGGAGGAAGAGGAGGACGAGAGCGACCAGCGAGGGTACCGGGATGACCGCTGTCCGGCCCGGGAACCGGGGGACTTAAGCGCCAGGACCCGCAGCGGCGGCGGCGGCGGGGGTAGGAGCGCCACCACCACCATGCCGCCCCCGGTGCCCAACGGCAACCTCCACCAGCACGACCCCCAGGACCTCAGGCACAATGGCAACGTGGTGGTGGCTGGCCGGCCGAGCAGTTCCCGGGGGCCCCGCCGGGCAAACCAAAAGCCCCAGCCGGCTGGGGGCCGGCGGGATGGCCGCAACCCGGCGACTGGGGGGCTCTGCCTTCAGCCGCCGGACGGCGGGACGTGCGTCCCCGAAGAGCCTCCGGTGCCACCTATGGATTGGGAGGCGCTGGAGAAGCATCTGGCCGGGCTGCAGTTCCGGGAGCAGGAGGTACGGAACCAGGGCCAGGCGAGGACCAACTCCACCTCCGTAAGTTGGCCCGGGTGCGTGCCCACGCGCGCACACACGCGTACACACCCCGCGCACAGCCCGCAGGCCCCCTCGCTGCGCTTCCTCCCGCCCGCGGCCCCATTCATCCTTCCCCGAGGGTAGTGGCTGGGCCCGCGAGCTTGCAGTCTGCTCCCCTGGGGATAAGGTTGCTCAGTCTTTGAGCTGTCTGGGTTTGCAGGATGGGCGGAGAGGAAGGAGGAGCAGCCAGAGGGCAGCGGAAAGTCGGGTTAGTGGAACCGGCGACTCATTTTAATGGAATTACTTATGAAGACCAGGTTGTGAGTCACTTGCCTGAAAATAAATCCGGGGAGATTCTGGCACCGAAAGTCAGTGCCTGCGGGGGATATTTCAAGTCGTAATAGTTGCGGCTTTGTCACTCGTGGTGTCTCTCCTCTCGTTGCCACTAATGTCTTATCCATATATAGGCAGTCCCTCTGCACACGCACACATTCGCCTGCCCACACCACCGGTCTGGCAGCGGGGTTGGTTCTGTCTTGAGTTAAGTAGATGCTCCTGTATTTGGATGGGTTGATTTTCCTTCTCTAAGACTTTCTTCTTTTATGAAACACGAGTTATTGTTGACCTGGGGGAACGGGGTAAATGGACCTGTCAGGATAAGGGAGGGGTTCTTGGTCGCCTGACTCACTCCCTCTGCTGTGAATCGCTCCTTGTTTTGATAAGGGAGCTACTTACAGTTTCTTACCGGAGGCTACTTCCTCAATTCAGGAAAGCCAGACAGGGAGGGGTGCTGGAGTGGAAAAGGGGGAGGAAGACGAGGGCTGCATCTATAAGAAGCAGCTCTGGCAGGTTCACACTTGTCTCAACATCTTTTTTGCCCCTGAGAGAAGAGCAGATAAATGACTTTAAAAAAAAAACATCATGAATGTAGCTCCCCTTTTTAGCACTGTTTTGAGATAAAGCAACAGTTGTAATTTGAAATCATTAATAATGACCCTAATTAGGGCTGAAGAGCACAGTTGAAAAGGAGCTTTCTGTGTGTGGCAGCTGTGTGGCAGGTGGGAAAAATGCTTGACTTGCAGGTGTAATTTTTGTGGCACCAGGACCCCGGGGCTCCTGAAAATTGGGTGAATGCACTTCTGACTTCAGGGGTGAGGATGGTAACTGTGTTTCGCAGAGAAATTGCTATGGTTTCTAACAGAGAGACCCTTGGCTGACAGAGCCCACTGGTTAGTTTCCCTTGGGAAACCACTTATTAAATTAAATATACTCGTTTTAATCCCAGCTGTTTAGGAGTTTACCATGGCCACTAACAGACATGGAATCTTTCCATTGCAGCCAATACTATCTCTTGTACCTTGCGGTAGAAGACACCCTTTTCCCACTTTGCGCTTGAGAAAAATACCTCATTAATACCTGGACTTGAACAATGATTGAGAAATAAGCAAGACGTTGATTTACTATTGCATGACATTTATACATTCCAGGAAATTTTAATAATTGGGTATACATGCAAAGTTAGGGTTTGATGGTGACGACGAGCTTCATTATTCAAAAGTTACAAAACAAAATTTTTTTGAGCACCCATGTATGTGCTGTGTGCCAGGGATGGTTCTGAGTGCTGTAGTTACACATCAGTCCACATGGGGCTACAATTCTGGTAAGGGAAGGTGAGGATACAGACTGCCTTCCCTCCAGGAACTTAAAATTTGATGGCTTACCTAGCACCGCCTCACACTCCCACCCCCAACACATACACACCTCTTCTCATTATTGTGAAGACTATGAATCTTTCCTTCTCGGGCAGTCTTTGAAACCATGGTGTATCCTCACCTAGTGAACAGTTTGCATATTTGCATATTTGAGTTTCTTACTTTCACTCCCAGCTTTCCTGAAAATGCCCCTTCTGGTCATTTCCTCTACAAGTTACACAGAGAGATTTAGATTTCAGTGTGTCAAAGCAAGGATGTGTACAGAAAAAAGGAAGAGGGAGATGACCTTTTAGGTTAATGCTGGACTTTTTCATGTTTTGGTTTGTGTTTGAACAAAATTACTAGTCACTAGTCAATGTTGGTTTAGAATAGTGTTTTTCAAACTGTAAGTTACCCGTGAAGTCACCTTAGCACTTAAAAAAAATTAAATAAAATAGAATATATGATAGTGTACTGCAGGGAGTCATAGTAAAGTTGGTGATTTTTAAAACTTGTTTATTTTTATATGTACGCTGGGTCGCAACATAAAGTTTATTTCTCACTATGGGTTGCTGTTATAAAAGATTGAAAAGCAGTGATTTAAATCCTGTTTAGTGTTGCCTGGAATAAGTAAAGGAATTTATGATCATGAAGACAGAAACCTGAGAAGAACAAAGGAGTCATGTGGAAGAGAAGGCCTGTCTTGAAGGAATTGTTCAAATCCAGTGATATTTTACTCCTCTTTAAAATGTCTTGTAGGAATACATTTAAGTGACATTAATACACACCACTAGGAGGTGGGTATACAATGAAAAGCGGATAGGTTCTCTTCACCAAGTAAGCCTATTCCCACTTCGGGCTTTCACCCATCTGTTACTTCTGCTTGCAAGCAAGTGTCTGGTTCCTTATCAACAGCTGAACTCTCACCGGCTCAGAGAAGCTGCCCACCCACCTTCCTGAAGTAAAGTAACAGCACTCCACACCAACTCAAGCACTCCTGGTGTGTTGTTTTCTAGTGCTTGTCACTCTCTGACATTATGTGATTTAGTTCTCTATTTTTGTTATCTCTGAAATATAGGCAGGAGTGCAGGGTTCTCACCTGTTTTTTAATTCTGTAACCTATTGCATGGGACGTGCCTGGGGTGGAGTAGTTTCTCAAATATCAAATGAATTAATGAATGAATGAATGGTTTATAACAACAACACAACCCAGACATAATCCAACTCCCTAATTTTACAGTTGAGAAAATTGAGACCCAGAGAGGTTAAGTGATTTGCCTCAGGCCCAGTGAGAAACTTATGAATGGGGTATTGTTCTTTCTTCTGACAGCAGACTAGTTCCTCCCCCACCCCTCTCATTTTAATGCTTAAAATAATTTGAAATACAAGTAAAGGAAGGCGCTCCCACCTCCCTGAAACTTAAAGGATTTCCTATTGACGAGTCCCTTATTTGTACTCCCTTAGAATTAAGGACATAAGTGAACTGGGAATCATCAAAATTCCCTTACTTCTGAGTCTCCTTTCACAGACAGTGTTTTTTATTGTTTTGTTTTAATGATATACTGTTCTACAGAGCAGAATAGTGACAGAATCCAGGTCTCTTAACTCCATATCCTGTGCTCTTTCCTTCTACTCAGTTGCTGTGATGCACGCAGAAGGATGACTGAGGTCTCAACAATGGATGGCAATCCGCTGTCCCTAATTTAGGATTGTTTAGGTGGCATTTAAAAGCTAGCACTGACCTTCACTTTGTGATGGGTTTAAACAGCTAATCTCTCTCTTGGTATCTGTGAAGGGTGATGAACTTGGATGCTGTCAGGAACTGTCTTTGGTGTCAGAGCATGGAGGGGCCTGAGGAATCTTGATGGAAACACTCTGGTGACTGGATCCTTGCTCCATCTCAGAGCTGGGAGCTCAAGATAGACCTCCAGCACCTGACCCAGCCCTCCACTGTGATGTCAGCACCTGGCGCAGCCATGTCCCCAGTAGTTCGCATTGTACCTGGCACAAATAAATGCCTCACGTATACAGAGAGGGTGAGGGACTCTACCCAAAACCAGAACTACTCCCAGAAGTGCCCTTCCATGGGCAACCTCTGCTCATCTGGTGTCAGCGTGCTGCTCACAGTCCTGCCCTGGGTTTGCATTCCCTCTTGTGGGTGAACACGTTATAAACTCAAGGGCCGTACACGGAGTAAAGAAAGGTACTGGGGTTGGTGCCTTTGATGTCAGATTAGGAGTCCTGCTTACAGAAGTTCATGTTTCTCCTAAATTCCTTTTTTTAAAATTTTGAGGCGGAGACTTGCTGTATCACCCAGGCTAGAGGGCAGTGACGTGATCTTGTCTCACTGCAACCTCTGCCTCCCAGGTTCAAGTGATTCTCTTGCCTCAGCCTCCCCAGTAGCTGGGACTACAGGTGCCTGCCACCATGCCTGGCTAATATTTTGTATTTTTAGTAGAGACGGAGTTTCCCTTTGTTGGCCAGGATGGTCTCCATCTCCTGACCTCGAGATCCACCTGCCTTGGCCTCCTGAAGTGCTGGGATTACAGGTGTGAGCCACCGCACCTGGCCTTAAATTCTTATGGTCCTGCCTACTCTGACTCTGCTGCACAGGACTGGACAGCTTTCCCTCTTTAGAGAGCAGGCCACAGATAGTTGGCTTTCTCTCTTCTGCTTCTACAGGACCTTAGTGCATTGCTGTAGCCCTCTTCCTCCTATTCAGAAGGCTCTGGTGGACCTATCGCCAAGTGGGGTAGTGGGCTACTGCCTCAGTGTACTTACTCATCTTCCTCCTAAATGGAATATAATTACACATCTTTTTCTCCGTGTTTTTCCCTGAGAGTTCCTCTCCTTCAGAGGGTGTGTTCTCCCATGTCTAGCCTGTTCTCAGTCTCTGGAGACTCAGCTCACTTTGACTCTTTCCTTTAAAAATAGCTTTATTGGCCAGGCACAGTGGCTTATGCCTGTAATCCCAGCATTTTCAGAGGCCGAGGATGGCAGATCATGACATCAAGAGGTGGAGACCATCCTGGCCAATATAGTGAAACCCTGTCTCTACTAAAAATACAAAAATTAGCCGGGCGTGGTGGTGGGCACCTGTAGTCCCAGCAACTCGGGAGGCTGAGGCAGGAGAATCATTTGAACCCAGGAGGCAGAGGTTGCAGTGAGCTGAGATCATGCCACTGCACTCCAGCCTGGCAACAGAGCGAGACTGTGTCTCAAAAAAAAAAAAAAAAAAAAGAAAAAAAGATAGCTTTATTGGCCAGCCTCAGTGGCTCACACCTGTAATCGCAGCACTTTGGGAGGCCAGGATGGGTGGATCACCTGAGGCCAGGAGTTTGAGACCAGCCTGGCCAACATGGTGAAACCCCATCTCTACTACAAATACAAAAAAAAGCCAAACGTGGTGGTGGGCACCTGTAATCCCAGCTACTTGGGAGGCTGAGGCAGGAGAATTGCTTGAACCCAGGAGGCAGAGGTTTCAGTGAGCCAAGATTGCGCCACTGCACTCCAGCCTGGGTGATAAGAGCAAAATTTTGTCTCAAAAAATAAAATAAAATAAAATAAAATATAAAAATAGCTTCATTGAGGTATAATTGACATACATCAACTGTACATAGTTAAAATGTACAGTTTGATGAGTTTTGACATATGTATGGCATATGTATGTGTTCTGACACACCTGTGAAACCATCATGAAAATCAAGATAATGAATATATTTAGCATCCTCAAAAGTATCTTTGCACTGCTTTGTAATACCACCATCTTGTCCCTAGGCAAGCAGCTGATCTGATTTCTGTTATAGATTAGTTCATGTCTTCTAAAACTAACATAAGTGGAATCACACAATATGTATGGATTTTCGTCTAGCTTCCTTCACTCAACAAGTGATTACTTTGAGATTCATCCATGTTATTATGTATATCAGTAGTTTGTTCCAACTCTTGCTGAGTAGTGTTCCATTTTGTGGATATACCATTTTAATCTGTTGGTAGGCATGTGTGTTGTTTCTAGGTTTGGGCTATTACAAATACAATTGCTATGGACATTCATGTACAAGTCATTGTGTGGATATACACTTTATTTATTTATTTATTTATTTATTTATTTTTGAGATGGAATCTTGCTCTGTTGCCCAGGCTGGAGTGCAATGGTGCAATCTTGGCTCACTGCAACCTCCGCTTCCCGGGTTCAAGTGATTCTCCTGCCTCAGCCTCCGTAGTGGCTGGGATTATAGGCACCAGCCATCATGCCCAGCTAATTTTTGTGTTTTTGTAAAGATGGGGTTTTACCATGTTGGTCAGGCTGGCTTCAAACTCCTGACCTCAGGTGATCCACCTGCCTCAGCCTCCCAAAGTGCTGGGATTACAGGTATGAACTACTGTGCCCAGCCTGAATATATACTTGCATTTCTCTTGGGTGCATAACTAGAAGTGAGAATGGCTTGATCACATGGTAGGTGCGTGTTTTCTTGTATAAGAAGCTGCCTCCTGTATTCTAAAGAAGTACTATTTTACTTTGCCATCACATGATGTTTAAAGCACTGAAGGAGGTTTTCCCTCTTTCCTATTGCTCTATTCCATCTTCACCCTGCTTTCCAGGATACCTCCTTAAGGTGGCTGGGTGGTTGTGCCTTCTCTCTTAAGAGAAAACAAGAGAGTAGTGAGATCACATGTCACATCGAACTAGTCTTTACTCCTGTTGTTTAAAAGAAGGAAATGAACCATTTTTAAATTAGAGAAGAGTTCTAGTTGTAGACTCAACACATTTTAAGTGCGGCTTTATTATTTTTTAGTGTCTATGACAGGTGCATTTTCCTCGTTTAATGAGAAGATAAGAACAATTTTAACTGACACATTAATTGAAAGCAAATTCATCTGATGAAGTTATTTCCGAGGTACTTGAAAATGATTTGTCTTTTTTATTAGTTTATACTATTAGCTAGTAGCACACTTTTTAAATTACCTACATTTCTTCCTAGAATGGCACTAATTATAGGTTATTTTCAATGTATTATTCTGTAAGAATTACAGCTCAGTTACTTCTTCCCCATCAATGATACTACTAAAGTCACTTGAACGGCTGAGTAATTTATTTCTTAGTTACCTGGGCTATGTTTAAATTACATGAGTTTTTGTTTTGGTAGACTTGAATTAACATGCCTTTAGTATTCCTACAAAATATAGTAAAGTTTGTAAGTTTAATAAGTTGTGTGATTCTGCAGCCTGGGGCACAGCACTGAAAACATACTGTGTGGAATGCAGCTGTCACTTATTTCTGTTAGTTAGAGAGCATGACAGTGTTAATTTTTTATTATTATTATTATAACTGGAAATTACCAGGGTGAAATGTATTCTGTGCTTCAGCCTTTTATTTTGAAATATCTAGTACTGTGATGAAAGGTTCTTACCTACTTTCCTATTTATGATGATTTTTTGCCTAAGAGCTGCAAAAGCTGCTTTGTCTACTGGCATGTACTCTAGACTTCAAAGAAATATGGTTAGGTTTTGTTTGTTTTTAAAGTAGGTTGCAGGTAAACCACATGTAAACAATTCTTAAAATTTTGAAAATATACCATTAGTTCTGGGGTTATCTATGTGTGTGTACAATTAAGTTATTGTTGGATGTATCACTGTATTGTAGAACAGTCTTTGAAAATGTAGTTTGATTAAGAGAAATCTTTGCCTACCAATTAGTTTGCACATAGTGGACCTTTAAGACATCCACAGGAAAATGTTCAGGATGTGCATCTAAAAAACAGAGGCAGATATTCTCACCACATACTGGCAGAGCTTTTTGAACATCTCAGCACTGGCATCGCCTCACCTCCCTCCGTCCCTTCCTGTTCTGCCTGCACTTTCAGTTCCAGACTCCTTGCTGGCATTCCTGACAAAAATCTCACACCTGACAGAAGTCAGGCCCGACTCGTCAATTTCTGATTTTGGTTCCCTGCTGTTTTGGTGACATCATAACTACTTTTTTTTTTTTTTTTTTTTTCAGACAGTCCTGCTCTGTGGCCCAGGCTACAGTACAGTGGCACAGTCTCTACTCACTGCAACCACCACCTCCCAGGTTCAAGCAATTCTCGTGCCTCAGCCTCTGGAGTAGCTGGGACTGCAGGCACCCACCATCACACCCGGCTAATTTTTTAGAGACGGGGTTTCGCCATGTTGGCCAGACTGGTCTTGAACTCCTGACCTCAAATAATCCACCCTCCTTGGCCTCCCAAGTGCTGGGATTACAGACGTGAGCCACCATGCCCAGCTCATAATTACTTTTATCTTGAATTCTCTGTTGTCTTCTTATGGATATGTCTCTTAACAGTCCAACTATCTTAAGCTTCCCCTCCCCTTTAAACACATATTACACATTCCCTGAAGTGTAGACATTTTATGTATGGTTGTCATCTGGTTGGTTAATGTATTTTGTGCAAGCCTTTCTTCTTAGTTCTTTAATTTACTCAAAGCTGCTACACGATAAACTTTCTTATTAGTGCTAAAGTACTAATTCCAGGTCCTTTCTTAAAAGCTTATCCAAATGCTGTGATATTACATTTGCATTTTAAAATAGACATTTGTTTTTATTTCTAGACCTTTGCCCCTGAAGAGATGAATGGTCTTGTTTTCCTACTTTTGAAATTTGGTCCTTAGTGTTTTAATGAAAACGGTGTTTGCAGATGCTCTTCCTTAGCTGCTTGATGCTACCTGTGCTCTAAGCACACTTTCTACTGTCAGTTACGGGGAGACCATTTTGCACTAAACTTTTGTAGAAATTCAAGTG